TTCTTTTTGTGTTTGTGTGTAATTGACTTTAGTACCATAGGTTCATAAGAGCCAGGTGGATTCACGCTAAAATTTCGTCTCTTGTGGGACTGCTATTCACAATCGTATTTTAAGGATAAAACTCTTTTTTATTGGTCATTATTCGAAATAAACATAAAAATAACCCAACAGCAAGGGATTCCTTAAGAACCAGCTTTTCTGTCCAAATTTTTGGCAACGCCCATGCATTTCTAATAGATGACATTAAAATTAATCGGCACACTATTTGCGTTGAGTCAATAAGTATTGCCTTAAATTTACAATCACTTTTTAGTCATCATACTCACCGAAATACGTGGTAATAAAGCGTCTAGAATTTGACTTAATTGCAAGTTTCTCTTTTAGGGGTTGGAATATTAAAAAGATAAAACACAATACAATTATGTGTTTAGAGGATCCAGCTCAAACAAATGCATACACTCTCTAGCATAGGCTGACTTATCACTAAAAACTTCTTCCTTAATCTTTATTGCCATTTCTTCATCTCTTCCAATTGTCTGCCAGGCCATTCTAGATGCAGTCGATCTGATCCAACGTGCAGAAATGATCCTTCAAAATGCCGATCAGCTTAACTGTCGGGTATTCGTGCGGCCTAAAGACATAGTGAGTGGTTCGCAACGCCTGAATCTGGCGTTTCTGGCCAACCTCTTTAATCAAAACTCAGCCCTCGAAACGCCAGCCGAAGTGGACACGAATGAAGTGGCCGCCGTTGTGGGAGAGACGCGAGAGGAGAAGAGTGAGTGTCTCTGTCTGCCATTCAGCCTCTGGTCTGCAAGACACTGTCTCTCTCCTGCTTCTCCTTCTCCTTCTCCTTCTCCTCTTTCTTCCCCTCCACCTCATTCTTCACCTTCTTGTTGGTGCCACTTTTGTCTGCCAGGAATACAGGCATTCTCCTTTTCAAAGTCCTCATCACCCTCCCTTTGCATCGCTCCTGATTCCAGTTTGCCACAATCGAAATCACTCTCACCTTCAGCATGGAACTGGAAATGTCTTGCTACTCACGGAATGCCACGCGTGCACCATACCAGACGGAGAATGCCTATGGGTGAATTTACGAAGAGAAAGGGACCACAAAACTTGGGGACGTCAAGAACATGTATGAATTCAGATGTTATTTCATGGCTTTGGCCCTTGGGCAGGCGCGGCCGTTACATATTTCCTACCCTTCCAGAAGCATTGCGTGAATCATCAGTCTGAACTGAATAGCCATTATGATATTCTCTTAAATTTTGTGCTTCCATTTTAAAAACGGAAAGTTTGTAACTTTTTTTATTACTTTTATACCAGCCACCACATTGGTATTGTTCTGAAATTTTTTTATTTTGCTCTAATTATATCTGGCTACTTGTAAGTAATACATATTTTATTGTCTTTTTTATTGCATTCACACCTGGTGCAGCTTATCGGAATTGGATCAACTCACTGGGGCTTAAACCGACTGTGAACTGTCTGTACACGGATATTCAGAAAGGCATTATGCTTTTCGACCTTTACGAAATCATCAGGCCGAAATCAGTCGATTGGTTCCGAGTGCATTCTAAGCTGTCAAATGTGGCTGCCAAGGCAAAATTTCAAGTGCTTGGTTAGTTACCGAATTTCTCTAAATTTCGTCATTCCACTGCCACCAAGGACAGCAGTATTTACAATTGGTTGGCATGAATTTCCAGCAAACCCTTCAGGAATAACAAATAATAGCTATTTTATCCCATACTTTTTTGCGAAGCCTAGGAACTTGGGTGGGTCTAAGGTTGAAACTTGTTGATGGAACTCTGTGAGAACAGCCATTCGATTCTTAAAATTAAGTTTAAACCCAATTAGTTTTTATCTTGGGTTTAGGATAAACAATCGTTTGATACCAATTTTGCTGTTATTTGATCCGTAGATCATATAAGGCCATATATATAAAGGAGGTGAATATTTTCAACTAAAGTGATACGGCTTGGAGGGTTACGATGTCTGTAATTCGAACTACTTACTGAATCTATTCTAAGTTCAGCATGGCAGCAGGAATTATCCAGTAACTGTATTTAATTATTCTTTTAACCAACTTTAGAATTCAGGCTTTAAAGGCTACGCTCTAAGACAGACCATGAGAAATAACGCCTCAAGTAAAGTGAATATGATGACAATGACTGAGTGAGATCAGTGGAGCAGGACGATAAGAAATAGATTGTTTGGAAACGAAGGGAGAGTTGGATGAAGTAGATTGTTGGGTCAAAGGGCCAAATAAGAGGAACAAGTTGTCTTCAAAAGGGGTACACCACTGTAATGGATGAAAATAAGCAATTTAGAAGTTGTGACAATGAAAGAGGAGAAACGAGGATATGTATTAGGTGAAGGTACGATGACAGAAGGAGAGATACCACAAATGTTTAACAGGAAGTTGGTCCGTCTCTTTGACGAGTTATAGCTTGGCGCTCAGAATGGCAAGGCTTACTGGGGATGCTAGTGAAATGTCTGGAAATGTGCCAAGTTCGGGGTCCGATGCTGGAAATGATCATGCTCACGATCATTTCGGTGTCCCTGAAGATGCGTTCAAGTTTCTAAGACTAGATCAAACCATTTCTATAAAGCCCAAAGATGTTGGCATCTTAATATGAGTTGAATTGGAATATTCCATTTCACTTTAACGGGAAAATGCATGTTCACATATTGGCATCAAGTGCTAATACATTTGTTTAACTTTATTCCGTAAATAATCGGCAGCACCAAACAAATAACTCACTGAAAGGGCCGTGTTGATCCAGTCTGGTAGTGGGCTTATCAAAATCTTTCGTCATGGGGAAACAGCCTAACTTTGCGTTTTCCCTCTAGTCCTACAGACTCACAGGGGCGCATGATAGTATATCCGGATCAGAATTCCGTCAGAGAATGGGCACTACCCTTCTGCAGTTCATGTCTGAATTACTGCTTCCGGTATGGTCTGCAATCAAGGAACCTTCGAGAACACTTGGACCTGATGCTCACTGCATGAAAAACGGGTGCACAAGTGGGCATAAATATCCCCAACATCGTGATTGGCCAGTTGACGTTGAGCCCATGAGCGAGTGTCCTCACAATGTATCTGCGTAAGTGGCCAAAAAGGAGCGAAATAGTTCACATGCGGCTGGATAATTCCCTGATAGATATGAAGACCAAGATAATCTTACGTTTATTTTAGTCGCAGTCTATTTCTGATGTATAAAAGTGGGCTGTTTTCGTTTTCGCAACTTGGTCGTGTTGTCATGGCGACCTGCTATGGCAGTTATCATAATTCACAGCATTGGAGCGTGGACTTGGTACATTCCAATTGGTTTCGCCCACTTCGCCAACAAGTCTTGCTGTGCTCAACACGAAGCTACAACTCGTCAATAGGACAAATGAAGTCGATCCCTTGACCAAATAGCTACGAAAACACTTGTGCCCAGCTATCTACTCCTTAACTACTTGTCACATTCCAGGCATATCACAACTTTTGACGTGTTTATATTTGTTGAGCTTACTTTCATTCCGAGTGAAAGTGTGGGGGGTAAAGAGCTTCGAAGGTCGGTTCCACCAGAAGACAACGGCCGATTCCTCTTGACCAGCTGTCGATTGGCTTTACTGCAACATTCATGCAGACGCTGTTTCTGAGGCAATCTCCTTTGATTCCTTCGACCGACATCATCAGAGCGAGGTTACATCGTCGCAACAAAATTCAAGCAAATGAGTCAAGAAAACTCACCGGCAAATCCCTAAAAAGTGGTACACATACTCTACATCTGGCCTCGAATCTGTTCACGCAACACTTCCACTCGAAATGAAAGGAAGCTCAACAATTATGAAACAAGAGATTCCTCGAAACCCAACTTTTATTCGCATAGTCTTTTATTGTCTT